AAATCAATTGATGAATTTTTTGCAAAACATGGATTGTCTCTTTCAAGACTAAGAGGTCAAGGTTATGATGGGGCTTCAAACATGCGCGGTCAATTTAATGGGTTGAAAACACTTATTCTTAATGAAAACAAGAATGCATACTACATTCATTGTTTTGCCCACCAACTTCAGTTAGTTATTGTTGCGGCTGCACAAGATAAGGAGAGTGTATTTGATTTCTTTGAAAAGCTATTGATGATTGTTAATACAGTTGGATCCTCGTGCAAACGGAAGGATTTTCTCCTTCAAGTACACGAGGAGGAAACTTTGCATCGCATAGAAACATGTGAATTGTCAACTGGAAGGGGGCAAAATCAAGCAACATCTTTAGCTCGACCAGGTGATACACGTTGGGGCTCTCACTACAAAACTCTTGTTCGTCTCTTTGATATGTGGAATGCTATTGGTACAGTGCTAAATTCGTTACACATGCATGGTGAAACACCCAAAAATAAAAACAGTGCTGGTGGTATTCTTGATAAAATGGATTCTTTTGAGTTTGTTTTTATTGGAAAGTTTATGTTGAAAGTTCTAGGTATGACTAACACCTTATCAAAGATATTACAAGCACGAGATCAAAATATTGGTTGTGCTTTGAATATGATTGGTGTAGTAAAAAAGAACTTACAAGAGTTTAGAGATCATGGTTGGGATGCCTTTTTGAAGGAAGTTAGTGAATTTTGTGAAGAACATGTAATTGATGTACCTAACATGGAAGATTATCTTCGTGGGCGATCAAGAAAGAAGATGAAAGGTGGTGAACCCATGACAAATTATGTGCATTTTCGTGTAGAGATCTTTGCAAAGGTATATTACTCTTATTATTTTTAAATGTTGATATCTTTTTTGGAAGTATTTTAATATCATAATATACTAAATAAGTTGTTATTATTATAATTATTCTTTATTTGATTTTAGGTGATTGATACTCTTGCTGTGGAAATGGATAGACACTTTACAGAGACAAACACAAATTTACTAAGATGTGTGATGTGTCTTGATCCTTCTAATTGCTTTGCGAGTTTTGATCAAGATCGGCTATTGGAACTTGCTGTATTATACTCAGAAGATTTTAGTTCTACTGATCGAGTTGAGCTTATTCATGAACTTCAAAATTACATTTCGGATATGAAATCGAATAAAGTTTTTGCTAACATCTCCAATCTTGGAAGTCTTGCAAAGAAGATGGTGGGGATGAATTATCACACATATTTTCCTTTGGTATATCGGCTTATAGAATTGGCATTGATATTACCTGTTGGGACAGCTTCAGTGGAAAGGAGTTTTTCTGCGATGAATATTGTCAAGACTGATTTACGCAACCGTTTGGGAGATGAGCT